CCCCACCCAACACCGAGCGTCCTCAACACCGGGCACCCTCCAACAGCGACCGCCCCCCAAACATCGGCCACCTCCCCAGCACTTTCCTCCACCCTCCCCCCTCCCCCATCATGAACATCATGAACCTCCCCATCATGAACATAAACCATGAACATTATGAACCAAACAACCACCCCCACTCCACACAAAACGCCACAGTGAGCAGCGTTAGACCGCTCACTGGCGCCTGTGCACTGCATATATCTCATCCTACCGTACCCACAGAAAACCGCTTTGAATCGTGCTGTGTATGTAGCACAATATCACCGCTTCGAGAAGACCGGTGTCCAGCGCGGGGCCGGGGAAGGGCGGAAACATCGAGTGGAGGGTGGGGCAAGGGCAGGGAAATATGATGGAGTACCTCAAAGTTTGATGCAAAAGCGCATGCTCGCACCGACTCGCCTGGTGCGTTCCAGCCTGGGTTAGTTTTTGAATGTTGCTAACTAAAATATGTTAAGATTGCTGCTGAACAGCGACAATTCCTGGACACCAAAAGGATCACAAAGCAAGCCATTTTCTATGCAAAACAGCTTGAAATGATCGTATGATGCAGCTTTTTTCTCCATCCCCAAGTCATTCCTAAAAGAGTTGTGTTTGTAATATTATTTGTTTTTTCGCTTTATCGCAGAATCCTGTATTTCTCCCTCCTCCTGCATGTAGAATCCCGTGGCTGACCTAGAGGTAATCCTCCTACGTTTTTCCACAATGGCAATCGTAGTCGTAGAAGGAACTATGATCAAAGGTCTTCACTTTATAAAAGAGTGTTTTTTTGAAGAAGCAGTAGATATCAAGAACACCAAGGCGAACTGTTCGAGCAGTCAGCGTGGGTATTTCATTTTACTGATGTTACATGAATTTAATTTAAATTTTAGTTGGTGTGTGTTTATGTAAGACGTAAGGAAATAAAAAAGGAAATGTGAATAAATTAAAATTAAAATCTGAATGGGAATGAATGCTGTTTTACGCTGAACGCAGCTGCTACAGGCTGTTCGATGCTGAAGTGCTCACCTGTAGTTAGTACCCGCCGCTTATTCGACGATGTGCGCCACTTCTTTCAGAGGAGCCCATGTCGTTTACTTTCTTTCGCTAACTGATATGTGCCATAAATTGTGTATAAAAGTCCACGCAGATTTATTTATTTTAATTACCAGGAATGATAAGAAATGTGGGCCGGTAGTGTAATGGTTAACATACTGTGGGTTAAATCCAAAGATCTAGCGGTAGCGAAAATATCGAGTTTGATTCCTTGACGTGTCGCACAACAGTTAAGGAAGAGAAGTAAAATTTGACTCCCTTCTCTTGTCTGTAGGCAAAGACAAGAAGTTCGATTCCGTATTTGGCCTACCAACAGCCGAAGATGAAAAGATCGATTTCCTTCCGGTCGATGACTTGGGAATGAAGCAGTTTCTGCTACGCTTACCCACTTGTGTATATTTGTGCTTTTTTTTTAAATGGGAAAAATTAATTATAAAAAACGAGCTTTAATCGTAAAACATTTGTTTATAATGATTTGTCGAAAAAAAAAAATATCAGTCGACACCGTTTGCAAAATGCGGGTGATCGTGTAGTTGGTTAGTGGCATAATAATGCACTGTGGTCTAAAAAGTCAAATTTTGTACTAAGGCCTATTGAGTAGCGAGTATTAGCTGAACAAATTTTTGAACTTATACCTTGATCAGTTACAATTTCCACAGTACGCGGTTTCCAGCTATGCTTCCAGCAATTTTTGCAGTCGCTCTGATCAGTGCTACAGTAACGGATGATCTTGACGTTTGTTCCGACTTCAACTCAATGGCTTTCCTGAAAAAAGTGTGTGGCAAGACTTTGAACGTTTCGAGATGTCCTTGGTGTGTACGTCTGTGCACGTATATATATGTGTGTGTTGAGCATCACTGCTTCATCGCGAATATGCCCTTTCTTGACTACGGCGGGTATGTGTGTGTGTTCGCATTTTTTTCACCCACTTTCAATTCGGCAGCTGGTCAAGTTGTTAAGAACAGATGGAAATACAGCTTTTATTGTGTAATGAATTAAAGTACGCTAAATTGGAATAGAAATAGATTATTATTATCACAGGAAATAATGGGAAATATCACTCAGAATATCTGAACACCGTCGAACATACTTTCATGTGGTAATATGAGATTGCGATCATCTGATGAAAACCTGAAATACGTTAAAAATATACAAAGTACCACACTATGGGCATCGGTGGTTCAGTGGTAGAATGCTCGCCTGCCACGCGGGCGGCCCGGGTTCGATTCCCGGCCGATGCATCCTCAGCTCCCTTTTTGCGTTCGCCCCTCAACTCCCATCGCTTCTAAATATGCTTTTTTAGCGCTCGTGCCAAGATTTAGGGAGAGAAATTCAATTAATTTACCTTCGTTCCGAAATCGGAACAGATGCCAAACGTCTCATGGAAGCACGTTTAATGGAAGAGCGTTTAACTCTCCAGTAGTGATGCGAATGATCAACGGATTTTGCTTTGCGCTGAACTGCTGACTTTGGGGTGGAGTGCGTAACTCCGTGAATCCTGAATTTTATTATTTTTTACAGCCTGATTAACATGTAATCCAACTGTAAGCCTATAAGCCTCAGAAATCATCTTGATACGGAGCTCTTTATGTGTGGTGGGTAGGAAGCTGTACTGGTGTTCTCACTCCTAACCGGACGCGCCACTCCATTTGTGTTTACAGCTAAGTGATGAAACACAGGCCCTGCTTCCCTCTGTGTCATATGTATCATCAAACAAACGGTTCTTTCGTCTTCATTACTAATATTCGATTGGAAATGGCAAGCTAACAGACAAAAGGATAAAAATGTTGCCAAATGGAGGAACTAAAACTCGAGACTATTAATTGGCGTATGTTCTGTGATATTCGTCATGCAGAAACATTCTAGATGGAATGCTGCCTGGTTTTCGGAAGGGGATAGACGAGGATGGACTAATTGGGCCCTTGTCCTCGACTAACCCGTAATCGTCTATGTTGGCTACTGTTCGTCATTAAACTCGTAGAAAAAGGTTATACTTTACAAGCCCTCCTCGACAGCAGTCTCCGACGAAGATCGAATCACCACTCTAAACTGGTGCGATATAAAAGGCAGAAGTGCTAGCAAAAACTTGAAAAGTTTTTGAGGTATCTCGATTTAAGTGGTAACTTCTCTATTCTACACGGTTTCGAACTCGTCGCATTTGCGCGACTTCACATATTGGCTTATTTTCTCTTCGCTTTCTTTCAAGGCAACTTGAATTTCAAAATTATTCTGACAGAACAGTGTCTACGAAAAAGTAAACGATCACTCGGCTTGTCACCCAGAAGATGGTGCACATACAATGAACATATTATCGGTGCCTAACTAGTTATATGCAACCCAGAATCATTGAGTTCGGCAAAACTATTCCTCGCGTTTGGGAGCATACCAGCAACAGCAGCAACATGGAATACCCTACATCGACGGTTCTAATATTTAATTGATATATTTGCAAGTAAAGTGAACAAAAAATATAAGAAAGCAAACTTCGCATGCACAGCTGAACCAACTAGTGGGCGAACTGCATCGTCGATAGAGCACCGTGAATACATGGCATCCACGTGGCCGCGTGACAGGAACTGATCCGGCTTAATTGATGGCGTGTGCTTCTTCGATTCATCCACTATGCTCAGTGCTGTCTGTAATACCAAAATTTAGAATATTCTTCCGTTTAATGGTGAGGGCATTGCTGCTAGCATAGTAATTATCCGGATATTCATAGTTTTCGAATAAGGGCGATGGAATAGGCAAAACAAACAGCCGGTGAAGCAGGAACAAAAGTATCGAGTAGGGCAGGACTGCTGTTTTACCCTCCCCTCTCTTTTCCCTTTCCCCCACCCTTTTTTTCCTCTCCCGCATTTCCCCCTATAAGATCCAGTGCTTTCCTGCGTGTACTACTCATTAACTGTCGACGTTTAGTGAAGGAAGTTGTAGCTGTTTCGACTTGTAGATTCTAAAGAGCAAACTATCTTAGTCATGTATGCATCGTACCGCAAGATTTTTGTCGATTAGATAATTGCATTCGAAATCGTCGTCATCCTCACCCATCGGATTCAGCAACACTTCTGCAGCTTTAAGCCATCCAACAAAAAAGATAAATTGAATTATTGTCATCACGGGAACATGTAAATCTATCTGAAAATTTACAGTTTGTTTCAGGAAGCAGCTGATTTTTGCCTCCCTTCCACCTCGCGCGTTCCACATGTGGATTCCGGAGATCACTCCTGAAGGGGTGCCAGCGCAGCGATTCTCCCGGTAGAGCAGCATGGGAAGGCTCTGGGTGTTTCAAAATGTCCCAAGTGCGTATTGAGTTTTACCTCATCGATTTGAGAGATGTCTTTTCCTAAACCATGATGGGAGAAGGACGTACAGACCATTTGCAATAAAAGTTAACAAAATGAGTTTTTGCATTTGCATAATACGCAAAAAAAGCATTTAAAAAGCAATAAAAAAGCTTACAAAACTGCCATCACTTTTGTGGTCAATATATTGCCTGGATATCAGACATGCAAAAAAATATGCATATACAGCTAAACTAACAACCTGCAATAAAGTTGCAGCAAAGATTCTGTGTTTTTTCCTAATGTAAGCAATTCATTGTTTCTGTTGCAAGTAGTGCGGGAAACTACTGGCATTCTCAGGGCATAAATGCAGAAGCGATTACGTCTCAAGGGTGACTTTTCGTTCGTACTTTACTTTGATAGAATGATCAAATGTTTTCATAGTACGGCTTGCTTTGTTTGTTTTCGCGTGAAAAGAAACGTGAAATTAGACGAAAAATGCTAAATTTGTGTTGAAAAGTCGAAAGAAACTGGAACATAGAAATTGCAAGACATATTTCGACTTATGTTTGAGAAGTGAGATCTGAAGGAATATGCCAAGATGGTCAGCAATAAACTGACCACTGGAAGATGCAACGCTGGTCAAAGTGACTGGAAGAGTTTCAACTGCGTATTTAAAGGAATAAACTACGAATAAATAAATTTTCTCAATATTCCTAGTGTTTTCCGGTTACCTGTGGATATGCAAGTGGTATAGGTACCCAGTCATAATTGCATACAACTTGTAAACTCTGCCGAAAAACTCGCAGTTCCTGCAAGTTCACAAGAAATATTAAGCTGAAAAAGTCAGTAGCGGGCGTGCCTCAAAATAATATGGATGAAAGAGGTCTGTCGGAGTTACAAATGATCTTGGCAGGAGTTACAGGTGAATCTAACAAAGTTCCATCCTTTGTTTTACAGATTGATTTTGAAAGGTAAAAATTGGAAAAACGAAAAAAAAGTGAAATTTTGCTATGCTTTAAAAAAGTGATGATGATGACTTCATGTCACGGTTTTTTTTCATACTGCACGCCTGTTCAAAAT